CTCGGGCTCAAGGGATTATACTCTAAAATTGTTTGATTATTCCAAACCATCTGCAAAAAGAGCCTTCAAATACATTCAGGTAGAGACTAGAGGAATGCATGACTTCTTTTTAGATACAATAGTTTTGGGTATTTTGTGGCCATTTTTTCCAGGTGGTCTCAGTGATCACCCTATAAAGGACATGCCCTGGGTGGCACTTAGACCAGACTCTGTTGGTCTATGGGTCACAGTTGTCCTCTGCCCAGTTAGGACTGCAGATGAGCCAGGCATAGTGGGTCACACTGTAATCCCAGCTTTCAGGAGACTGGGCAGGAGGATTGTCACAAATTCAAGGCCACCTGTTTTGTAGTCTGTGCCTTGCCTGCTTGGGCTATCCTGTCTCAAGGGGTGGGGGGCTGGGTCACTTTCATGACACTGTGGGTCCAAGCCTAGGGACTGGGAAAAAAACAAAACCAAAACAAGCAAAAGCCTACCTTCCCTAGAAGCATACCTTACAGCCATCAAAGTTCTCTGTTGGAACTGTTGACTGTCCCAGAAAAGCAACTTGTAGTCCCTTATTGGGTCTGCGTTGCAGAAATGCTCATGTTTTCAGAAGCAGCTTCCGTCAGGAATTGGCTGGCTTCGCCTTAGTATTTGCTGCCCCAGGGTGGATTCAGAAAGCTCTCTGATCCCTGGCTCTGTGAGTGTAGCTCCCTTAATCCATTTGCAGGGGTTCATCTGATTTCATCCCATGTTCATTCTCAAGTGAGGCTCCGGTCTGGTTTTGGAATGACTGACCAGGAAATAGCTTTCTGCATCCGGGACAAGCTCTTCTCCCCTGCCTCCTGCGGCTTGCTTGGCCGGATGCTGGTGACTGACACTGTGCCTCTGTCCTCACAGGAAGCTGAGATGCTGCGCTCCATCTCTTTCCACCCTTCGGGAGACTTTATCCTGGTTGGGACTCAGCACCCTACCCTCCGCCTTTACGATATCAACACCTTCCAGTGCTTCGTCTCGTGCAACCCCCAAGACCAGCACACGGATGCCATCTGCTCCGTCAGCTACAACCCGAGCGCCAACATGTACGTCACTGGCAGCAAGGATGGCTGCATCAAGCTATGGGACGGCGTGTCCAACCGCTGCATCACAACCTTCGAGAAAGCTCACGATGGCGCGGAAGTCTGCTCTGCCATTTTCTCCAAGAACTCCAAGTACATCCTCTCTAGTGGAAAGGACTCTGTAGCTAAGCTCTGGGAAATATCCACAGGGCGGACGCTGGTGAGGTACACAGGTGCGTGAGAAGGTGGTGCTGGGATTTCTCGGGGATCAGATCCCTGAGGAGGGAGGTACCTGAGGGAAGGGGTTCAGAAAGGGCTTCGGCCCATCCCTGGGCCAATACAGGTAGCCCCAGAAGAGCGCACCCGTGTCCATGAATGAAGTAGACCTTGCAGGCAGGAAGAAAGGAAAGCCAGCTCGGTTCCCCCGTTTGTTAGTCTCTAGTTTGTAGCGGCTGTGCCCACGGGCGCCTTTTATGGTAAGTCTTGAATTTATTAGCCAGTTCAGGTCTGGGCACAGTGAGTGTCATGTGCCCTGTGTTGTTTGATAGGAGCCTCCTGGGAAGTTCTGCTGCCTCTCCCCCCACCCCACCCCCACCCCCACCCCCTGCGCCTCTTGTGAGATGTGTGTGTCTCACTCGCTACACTAAACACACCAAAGTTGTAGCTTGCAGGGGACCAGTGTTGTAAGGCACTCTCTGATTTAGCGTCTTGGAGAGAGGCATGGAAGAGCTGGTGACATTCAGGCCACTAGGGTGCAGTACATTTCCTCTCTATGTGGCACAAGCTAATTGCCTAAAGAGTCACTTTTGTCATAATCCTTGGTAACTTTATGATACTTTATATGGTGTCATTTTGGAAAGCAACTCTTAAAACCAGGTGTCCTTGCATGCAGAAGCCATCAAAGTGAACATGAAAATGCTGTTTACGGGATGATGTAGGGGACAGACATGCACCAGACTGCTACCAAGAGCTTAGATTTTTGTGAGCACCTAGAGTATGGTTTATTGGCAATTTTATTTTTTCCAAAGGAATGCATACATTACTGATTTCCTAATTCCCAAGTCAGCACCCTGACAGTCAGCATGTCAGGGTTTCCATTCTGGTTTTAAGATTTCCTTAGAATGTGGGCTGGAGAGAGGGCTCAGCCAGCCTGTTAAGAGCACTGGCTGCTCTTCCAGAGGACCCAGGTTCAGTTCCCAGCACCCACACGGCAGCTCACACCTGCCTATAACTCCAGTTCCAGTGGAGCCAACAGCTTCACACAGACATACATGCAGGCAAAACACCAATGCTCGAAAAATAAAAATAAATAACTTAAAAAGAAATTCTTCCTTAGAATGCAAAGTAGTTTTGAAATAGCAATGAAAAGAGAGAAACTGAAGAGGACATGGATGTGTTAGTTCATCCTGTGTTCTATGTAGTAGACAGGTCTGTCTTACTGTATGGGTAGGCTGTGGATAGATGAGAAAAAGATGAGCCCAAATTTATAAGAAAAGAGTCAAAGTTTTTGCAGTATTTCGTAAAAAGTGAAAATCAGATGTAAAATTAACAGCCTAACTGTAAACTAAGGAGCAGAAGTGGGGGCATCTTTCTTGGCACATCAAACCGTCTCTAACTCAAGGACTGTGTTATTTTATTGCTGAAAGTCTGCACATTTTACTGATGAGTCGTTTTGGTAAATATTTCAGAAAGATAATTTAGTGTCAGGTCAAAAATTTTAATATGTGGTTTTTGTCACACTTTTAGGTGAGTCTGTGTGTCTGCACACAGAGTGGTGTCTGTCACCATCACTGAGTCAGTAGAAGTTGGGGGCTTATGCAGATTAGAAGCCAGAGTCCACTGCAGAGCACTGAATGGTTCTGCCTTGCGCCTGCTAGTCCGTGCAGCCTTGGCAGATCGACACTTGCATGGGGCTTGTATGTGTCGTGTTTTAATCCTCAGCACCCTTGTGGGAGGCTCCTGAGGTGAATAAAGGAAGGCTTGAATTAGGATGTCACCTATACTCAAAGCCACGGCCCCTCGGGAGAACACGCCCCACTAACTGTGAAGGGTGTGTTTTCCTCTATAGCCATGATCCTCTTCCAGGTCTGCACTGTGAGCTCTTGAGTGAAAGGAGCACGTGACCTCTAGTTTCTGCAGTTGGGAGCACAGGGGTATTTGTCCACCAAACTGTAGTTCTGTAGTTGGGAGCACGGGGGTATTTGTCCACCAAACTGTAGTTCTGCAGTTGGGAGCACGGGGGTATTTGTCCACCAAACTGTAGTTCTGCAGTTGGGAGCACAGGGGTATTTGTCCACCAAACTGTAGTTCTGTAGTTGGGAGCACAGGTATTTGGGAGGCTGTCCACCAAACTGTAGTCTCATGAAGTAGTGAGCTGCCCTGAGTGCTTTACTCTTTTCTACATTACGTGGTGTTTGCAACACTCTTAGTGGACACAAGCGGAATGCCCAGCAGCAAGAATGGTTAGTGATGCGGACAGTGCCCAGGACCGTGGGTTTAAACTACGGTTGGTGTTCGCCTGCCCTGGCTCGGGTGCCCTGGAGGTGACGGTGTTGGCAGTGCTAGAACATGGGGAGGCCTGAGGCTAACGTGTTGCTTTGTGTGACAGGAGCGGGTCTGAGTGGACGGCAGGTGCACCGGACCCAGGCTGTGTTTAACCACACTGAGGACTATATTCTGCTGCCAGATGAAAGGACCATCAGCCTCTGCTGCTGGGACTCTAGGACAGCTGAGCGCAGAAACCTGCTGTCCCTGGGCCACAACAACATCGTGCGCTGCATTGTGCACTCGCCCACCAACCCCGGCTTCATGACGTGCAGTGACGACTTCCGGGCTCGGTTCTGGTACCGGAGGTCCACCACTGACTGAGCTGGCCCACTCCGAGGGTTCTTGTCTCAGGACTCTGCCCTCCTCCCTGTGTCCTGCCGCCAGCTGCACTAGCGAGCAGTCTACCATCTGTTGTGTGCAGCCATCTGGCTCCTGCCTTGGATTTGGACGTGGAAGCTCTTTTTTACCTTGATGTAGAACCATGGTGTGAAAAATTGGAAGCTGTGCACGCTGTTCTGTTGCAGTGACGTCTCCTGTGCACACTGTCCTATTGCAGTGACCTCTCCTGTGCACGCTGTCCTGTTGCAGTGGCGTCACCTGTGCACACTGTCCTGCTGCAGTGACCTCTCCTGTACACGCTGTCCTGATGCAGTGACATCACCTGTGCACGCTGCCCCGCTGCAGTGACCTCTCCTGTGCACGCTGTCCTGCAGTGACGTCACCTGTGCACGCTGTCCTGTTGCAGTGACGTCACCTGTGCACACTATCCTGATGCGGTGACGTCACCTTGCACACTGTCCTGCTGCAGTGACGTCACCTGTGCACGCTGTCCTGCTGCAGTGATGTCATCTGTGCACGCTGTCCTGCAGTGACGTCACCTGTGCACGCTGTCCTGTTGCAGTGATGTCACCTGTGCACGCTGTCCTGATGCAGTGACGTCACCTGTGCACGCTGTCCTGATGCAGTGACGTCACCTGTGCACACTGTCCTGATGCAGTGACGTCACCTGTGCACACTATCCTGATGCAGTGATCTTACCTGTGCACACTGTCCTGTTGCAGTGACCTCTCCTGTGCACGCTGTCCTATTGCAGTGATGTCACCTGTGCACGCTGTCCTGTTGCAGTGACGTCATCTGTGCACGCTGTCCTGTTGCAGTGACCTCTCCTGTGCACGCTGTCCTGTTGCAGTGATGTCACCTGTGCACGCTGTCCTGTTGCAGTGACGTCATCTGTGCATGCTGTCCTGTTGCAGTGACGTCATCTGTGCACGCTGTCCTGTTGCAGTGACATATCCTGTGCACGCTGTCCTGTTGCAGTGACGTCACCTGTGCACGCTGTTCTGCTGCGGTGACCTCAGTGTGGCTATCACCAGCTTAGTAAGCTCAGGACTTGCCATGGCTTCCCACCCTTGTGCCTGGAGAAGGACAGAATGTTGAAGTACTTCGTGGCCTCAGGGGAGTCTCACAAAGACTGTCATCAGGTTCTTTTGTCACCTCCAGCCTGTCTTGCCCCCTCTGTATTTCCTTCTCAGATGTGTTTCAGCACAGGAGGAGGTCTGCAGCTTGAGAATCTCTGGGTTTGTGCCCTGTGGAACCACCTTGCAGGGACCCCAGTCCCACCCTGAGGTGATGTCATCCTGATAATAAAGCTCAGATCTATGACCTCAATGTTCCTTCTTCTTCACTTCATAACCCTGGGGTTTCCAAGAGCCCTGTCTGCCGTCCCTGTGGCATCCTCCTGGTCCCAGCCATGTTCACTGATCCGAACGGTGACGTTCATCAGCCCAGGGAACAGGATGATCGGGAGATTAGGGCCTACCTCAAATAAATAGCAGGTTTGAGACCAGCCTTGGCTAGACCAGCCTTTAATCTCAGCTCTCAGGAGGCAGAGGATCCCCATGAGATCCCAGCCTGGACTACATAATGAGTTCCAGGACAGCTACAACTCCTTAGTGAGATCTCGTCTCAGAAAACAAAATGGATGGTAATGATTTGGTGGGATACATAAGTCAAAATTTATCCAGTCTCTTAAGCCCCAAGAGCTTGCTAGTGTCCCCAGCGTGACAGTAACTTGTCGTTGGGGTGCACAGAGAGCACGCCCTTGGGGTTGCTGCAGCCGTCTGGTGCATCTGTCTCTTGAAGTGTCTGGGAAGCTGACAGCATCTCTTGACTATCTGATGTAGGTGAACCAGCCCTGTGAGCTCCTCTTCCTAACCAAGTTTGCTCTACTTCCCCTTGAAGAGAAATCCCTCAGGACCTGGAAACAGTGTGAGATCACTGATAACAAAGTAGCAACTAGGCCACAGTGAGTCACTGCTGTGGGGTGGGGACTCTCACATAAACATTCCTTCCAGCCTCACCACTGAGGAGGGGTCACTGCGTTTGGGGTCGCAGTCCTAAAGAGCTGTATTTTTGTGTCCACAGTAAGTGTGAACTTACACTTTTGCATTCTGATTCTCCAGTATTTGAACATGGCCACCTGGGGTGCCACCCGTAAGATCATAAGAAAACTACTGGATAGGAGCAGAGGGCAACCACTCTAATCCCAAGCTCCCCACATGTTCCTCTGCCTGCCCTGTTGCTTTCATGCCGTGACACCCCAGAGCAGAGGCTCACCACCTCTGTCACCCTCTGCACTCCCAGCCCAAGCTGCCCAGATGTGCGGATCGCTTGTGAATGAAAACAGTAATGCCTCTTCGTGCAGTTCCTAGGCTAGTCTCGGTGGCTGTGGTTTCAGGACTGACATTTACGAGATCAAAGTTCTCTGTTTCCAAAATAGTTTCCTCCCCTCTGTCCCCTCCTCTACCCTGCCTTTTAACCCTGGTGTAGACGTCAAGACCCACACGGACTTGGTGTTCACGTCTTGACATTGTATTGCATCTCACACCCAGCATTTGAGTGATGAATTTATATCTGGTCACAGTAACCTATGCCTTCTATGTTATTTTCAAAAGATGTGATTTCTAGAATAAACTTTTTTATATAATGGTAACATACAGCTAGTTTGTGTTTTTGGAGATTGCCTTCCCACATTTGAATGGCAGTTCTTAAGCCTTAATGGTGGGTGGGACATTTCACAGCCTGGCACTTGTTCTGGGGTCCTAGTTGCATTCTTGCAGGCTACTGAACAGAAAGAACTTGGTAGAGTTCCCTTCCTTCAGATATCTCGATTTTCTTTAGAAAAGCAATATGGGACAGTCTGGTCCCAGCTCTGGCCTTGACTTGGTAGGTAACAGAGGTAGCCATTGTTGTGGGATGTGAGTCCCTTCGGTGTCCAAAGGCCTTCAGCTCTATTGTCCAACCGGCTCTTGAGCGAGTGGAAATTGTTTAAGAATACTCACCCTCGGGGTGAGGGACAGCATTTGCTCTCAGGAAGACGTGTGAAAGTAAATGAGCCATCCAGAGACCCTTGAGTTCAAATGTGAGCAGAATTTGATGTAATGGTAGAGCTAGCAAGAGAAATAAGAAAACGTGCAGAGATTAGCAGCGTTGGAGCCAGCAGGCTCGGCGTTCTTTGTCGTGATTTCTGGGCGGAACTAAGGCTAGGCCTCGTGGGGTGGGGACTTCTTCCTGTCAAGACCCAGAAAAGAAAATAATAAAGGAAAGGGTTGTATTAAGTTGTTTTGTTTTTGTTTTTTAAGTCCCAGAAAGTAAGATTGAGCCCCCTCCCCCGCCCCATAACAGACTGAACTTCACAAAAACGAGCATGCTCTACACTAGCTTGGTGTTTACAGGAAGAGCAGGATGGTGCAGTGAGGAAGGTCTCCAAGAGCCAGCCTGTGTGCCGGCCGTACCTCAAACCGACGTGGAACTGTGGAACTGTTACCACCACCCAACCCCCTGGGAGAAAACCAACCGGGAAATTGAAAGCTGTTTCCAATAGGTAAGCAGCCACAGTACCTTACAGAAGCCAGCCCAAGTCTCTAGGAGAGAACATGTCTGAACCCCGGGCTTCCCTTGGTTCTCCCAGGTGACAGGATCGTGAGCTCACTCTCAGGATATATGAAGACACAAGCCGCCGTGGTGCCGACCAACAAAAACCAACAGACCTGCAGAGTTAAGATCATCCATGCAAAACATGTACATATGTAGATTACGTCCAAAGAGCCAAAACTGGGGGCCATAGATTAGCCCAACTAGCAGGTTTTCTAACCCGGGTTCCCTCCCTGGCATCACAGGAACCAGGCTTGGTGGCACACACTGCACCCAACACTTGGAAAGTGGTTACAAGCTCAGATGTTCAAGGTCATCCTTGGCTACGGAGAAGTTGAAGGCCAGACTGTCCCAGAATAAAAAGTCTGCATAGTGGTACACTTGTGTAACCTCAGCAGCCTGCAAATCCAAGGCCAGCCTGGGCTCTAGTCAGTTCTTAGCCGCCTGGGGGGGGGGCAGATAAATGTATGTATGTATGTATGTATGTATGTATGTATACATATGTGTGTGTGTAATTGTGCATTAGTGTTTTGCCTGCATTTCTGTCTGTGTGAGGGTGCCAGAACCCTTGAAACTGGAGTTACAGTTATGAGCTGCCATGTGAATGCTGGGAATTAAACCCAGGTCCTCCGGAAGAGCAATCAGTGAATGTTCTTAACCCTTGAGCCATCTCTCCAGTCTTCAAAACTCTGTCGTAACAGCAGGGAACTGAACGAAACCTGAGGAAAACCACAAATTCTCCTTCACCACTCTCCCCACATCGTGGTTTTGTCCTTCTCTGGGTTTCCTCCCCAACTCTATTTCAACTCCTTCCTGAGGCCACTTTTCCAGGCATCTCTGGGCCAGGTGACACCTCTCCCCCACGACAGCTACTGGCCTGTGACAATCATTTTCTGTCCTGGTTCTTGTTCAGTCAATAGGCAGCCTTTTCCTGCAGCCCCTGCTGCGCCCCCCACCCCTGCTTTTAGCAGTCCTTTTTTTTTTTTTTCAGTTCGTACTGATTCCTTTTCTTCCTCAACCTTCCCAAATCCAGAGAGAGAGAGAGAGAGAGAGAGGGAGGGAGAGAGGGAGGGAGGGAGGGAGGGAGGGAGGGAGGGAGGGAGGGAGGGAGGGAGGGAGGGAGGGAGGAAGACAGAGACTCAGGTCACCAGGCTTGTGCCACAAATGACCTTACCAAGACACTTCTCGCTCCCAGTCTCAGATCTTGAAGCCGTGCAGTCTGAGAACTACAAGGTCTCAACCATCTGTACTATACACTCTGCTCAGCTGTCTTTACAGGCCAGGCCCTGAGCACCAGTGTTGGAATACCAAACCCAGTGAACTTCAGTGTTGGAATACCAAACCCAGTGAACTTCAGTGCTGGAATACCAAACCCAGTGAACTTCAGTGCTGGAATACCAAACCCAGTGAACTTCAGTGCTGGAATACCAAACCCAGTGAACTTCAGTGCTGGAATACCAAACCCAGTGAACTTCAGTGCTGGAATACCAAACCCAGTGAACTTCAGTGCTGGAATACCAAACCCAGTGAACTTCAGTGCTGGAATACCAAACCCAGTGAACTTCAGTGCTGGAATACCAAACCCAGTGAACTTCAGTGCTGGAATACCAAACCCAGTGAACTTCAGTGCTGGAATACCAAACCCAGTGAACTTCAGTGCTGGAATACCAAACCCAGTGAACTTCAGTGCTGGAATACCAAACCCAGTGAACTTCAGTGCTGGAATACCAAACCCAGTGAACTTCAGTGCTGGAATACCAAACCCAGTGAACTTCAGTGCTGGAATACCAAACCCAGTGAACTTCAGTGTTGGAATACCAAACCCAGTGAACTTCAGTGCTGGAATACCAAACCCAGTGAACTTCAGTGCTGGAATACCAAACCCAGTGAACTTCAGTGCTGGAATACCAAACCCAGTGAACTTCAGTGCTGGAATACCAAACCCAGTGAACTTCAGTGCTGGAATACCAAACCCAGTGAACTTCAGTGCTGGAATACCAAACCCAGTGAACTTCAGTGCTGGAATACCAAACCCAGTGAACTTCAGTGTTGGAATACCAAACCCAGTGAATTTCAGCGGAAGGCTGGTGTGGAAACTGTTGATGAGCACTGAACACCACTGGCTTTTTTTTTTTTTTCTTTCCTTTTTGGTTTTTGGAGACAGGGTTTCTCTGTGCCTTTGGAGGCTGTCCTGGAACTAGCTCTTGTAGACCAGGCTGGTCTCGAACTCACAGAGATCTACCTGCCTCTGCCTCCCGAGTGCTGGGATTAAAGGCATGCGCCACCAACGCCCGGCTTACAATTGGCGTTCTTAAGACACGTAGTAGAAACAAAGTGAGCAAATCCACTAACGCCAGAAAAGAAAAGTGAGTCCGAGTCCTGCCCTCTAACGGCACATGCCTGTGGCCACAGCACTCACGGGAGGCTGAAGCAGGCAGACTGCCATGATTCTGAGGCCATGCTGGACTGACTAGTTCTGGGCTAGCCTGAGCTAGTGTGAGGCTGAGGGAATAAGTAAGTACTGTTTTGGATCAAGAGCATTGAGGACTTGGCTACCGGATGGGTGTGGCAGCGTGCTTGCAATCCAGAACCCGGGAAGTGGAGGCAGGAGGATCAGGAGGAAGACTGTCCTCTGGTGTGTAGCAGGTTCAAGGCCAACCTGGGCTATGGGAGACCTTGTCCCAAAAAAATAAATACAAGAGAAACCCAAGGTCTCCCCACTGCGAGGTTCTTAG